CTTGGAAGTTGGACCACAAATCATTATTTTGCATCAAGTGTTCAACTACAACTGTTAGAAAATGACTCGTTTATCTTAAGCCCTTTTATTTTATTTTAGTAATGCAAAATTTTCATTTTACAGAATAAATTTTAAATATATAGTCATTTATTTTGTGATTCACACATATTAATTAAAATTGTACGCATCACTAAGGCTAAGTTTGGCATCTTCAAAAAAAGTCAAAAAGTCACTATCCTATTTAAGTCACATCATCTTATTTAAGTCACATCACCTCTCTACCACATCACTTCAAACCCAACCAATATTTCATAAAAAGTCAAAAAGTGCTATTATTTAGAACATCCCAAACAAATAGTAAATCACAGACTAATTATATATATATATATATATATATATCTTTTCTATTTTTATTCATCTTTATGTTTGTTTTGTGAGCAGTGTAATAATGAAAAACGTCTTTTGCTTGGCATTAAGTTCTTGTATGATAATGTGAAAAATATGTCTTTAGTTTCAGTTTTTGGAATTTAATTTTTTTAAAATTGAGTTTTTTTATTTTTTCGTGTCTTTTGGTTTTTAGTTAATATTTTTAAAATTTTAAGTAATTTTTTTTACTTTTTTAGATACACCTTACTTAGATGTATCTAAATAGTAAAATATTTGTGAAAAAATATATTAATAAATTAATAAATACACAAAAATACGAAAAATATATTGAATTTTCATTTTTTTTTGTATTTTTTGGTATTTAGTGCATTTTTTAAAGATTTTTTTCACAAATATTATATTTTTTTAAGTGTATTTATGTTAGGTGTGTTTAAAAAAAATTTAAAAAAAATTACTTAAAACATTAAAAAAATTCATTGAAAACATTAAAATTCGAAAATTTTAAAAAAATAATAAAATTTTCTAAAAATCAAAATCAAAGAAGCTGGATTATCGTGATTATGAAAATCATTAGTTGTACCAAAGTAAACACATGGACAAGATGGATTTATATTTTTGGATTTAATAATTTGAACAAAAATTGTTAAATAAATTTTTTTTTTCATATTTTTTGCCCTTTTCTCCTGTTTTTTTTTTTTTTTTTTTTTTGTTTTGGATTGGCATGTTCAATGTAGTGAACCCTACCCCGTCAATCAAGCCGCCGGGGACCCTCAGCTGCATTAATCATATGTGTTGTTTCAACCTATCTATCTATCTATATATGTGGACTCTAAAATTGGTGGTTAAAATTCAATTAACCTTGAGGGACTAGGTTTAAGTCTTTTCGACGTCAGTTACTCAGGCAACAACAAATAAGATTGGTAGGACGAACCTTTTAGGCCTAGGCGAACCGTATCCAGTGTCAAGAGCGTAAATTCAAATTACTAATTTTGTGCAAGTCTGCAACTTACCGTTGCATAGTTTAGTAACACTGCTATGCATAAGGGTGACCTCTAAGGTTTCGACTCCTTAAAGTCTAACTTCAGAAGTCCAAAGGCGACTCTACAGTCCAGAGAGTGTTTAGTTGAAATTTTTTGTTTTATTTGATGCATATATGTAATTCAACTCAAAATTTTATGTTGAACACTCTAATCTAGAGGTGTTCACGGTTCGATTGCAGTCAGAGAACCTCCAATCCATCATCTGTCCACCGGATTGGCATATTAGAATAAATCAATCCACATCTGTCCGTTGGATTAGCGGATACGGATTGACGGATTGGCAAATAGATGCGAATCAGTTTGGCGATTTAAACTTTTATAAATTTTGAACATAATACAACAATTTTTCAAACATTTTTTTTTTGAATAACAATCCAACTCAACATTATCAAAAGATTATCAAGTAAATACCAATAATAAATACGAAAATCATGCATTATTAAAACTATTTCATTAGTACTTTTTCATTCAAAAACTATTTAATATGATTTTTTTTTTAAATGACAAAATTAAGCCTTATATTTTTCGCACAAAAATATCAAATATCAACACTTACCATTTGATAAAATGATTTTCAAATTGAAAACACAATAGAATATCTAAACTCTTTTCAATTGAAAACACAAACAGAATATCTAAACAAATTGAAAACACAAAGTCTTACAAATTATTAGGGGTGCTCACGGTTTGGCGGTTCGGATGCGGCGAAAAGAATCTCAAATCCGTTATCCGTCCAAAATTAGACGGATTGAAAAAAATCAATCTACAACCGTCTGCCCATTATCACGCATCTGTCCAAAATACAACGAATCGATTTGGTTCAATCAATTTGAGCATATCAAAATATCCACTAAATACCCTTACCCTACCCCACCTTCCTGAATATCCACCCAGCCTATTTCCTTGAACATCCAACCCAACCAATAACCCTTTATTCAATATATATGGTTTGTAAAGTGAACACACAACATATTTTGGAGGTTTGCTTCCTCAGTCTGGGCAAAGTACCCCTTTGATAAAATTGTGTGAATTTGCAATTCTCAACAAATGTATCACTTAAATGTCAATGTTGATGAACAATTTTATAGCTCATCTCAATTTGAATTACATGAGCTTTCTTCAACAAAAAAAAAAAAAAAAAAAAACTATCATGCTAGTAATAAAAACAAAATATGTGTAAATTTTTGTATCTAAATTTTATTTTTTGAAACATTGATATCAATATATTAAAATTTTATTTTATTTGTTTATTTGTGTGTGATTTGAAAAGTCTAAAAAAAAATAAAATTTTGAATGTCTGAAAAAAATTATTAGAACACCCTAAAAAAAAATTTACAGTCACCTCTACATAAAGGTCACCCCTCTATGTTAGTCCCATGGCTAAAATTCAATTTAATCAATTACGATGATATCTTTGATAGATCATTCTAGATTTCATGAAATGCAAAAACAAACGATCGAAGTCAATATTTGTAAGGAATTGTTAGTTTGTCCAGACACATTCAATCCAAAATTGGTAATGGATGAAAGGATTTCTAGATTATACGAACTTGTTTGGTTTGATCGCTAATACACGCATAATTGGAACTCACTAATACACACATAATTGGAACCCGCAAATGAACAGTAAAATTAATTTTCGGAATAATCGATCTAATAAACTGAATATCGAGTTATAAAAAAAAAAAAAATCACATAATTCAATAGCCTTGGGTGATGGTGACAATTTAGGGAATCTTCTACCCTTGTTGAACTTCAACCTCCTCTTCAACAAATCAGTGTGAAAATGCTATTGGGTGAATGTAGTCCTATTCTGAGATAAATCTTTGAGTTCTTGCTTAGGGTATTTAGATTCTTAATTGATTTTTATTTGTATATCATTTTTTTTTTTATTTGGATTGGGTGTGTTAATTTCTAAAAAAAATACCTTACACCCCCACCATCTCTACTATTTTTTGATTGGTCCATATTTTTTTTTTGTCTTCCACTTGCTGCCCCCCACGTGGAGGTGGGGGTGCTGGGGTCCCTAGCAGTGCTGTAATTTCTAACTATCCAAAACAAGTTCATACATCTTTGGTGAAGGTTGCGGGACAACAAATGAGAGAATATTTGGTATCTTAATGTGATGAGATTAGATCTAGCTCCTTATATTAAATCCAGATTATATCAACCCAAAGCTCCAAAAAAAAAAAAATCCCATTTTTGAAGTTTATGAGAAGAATGATCATAGATAATATTCTTGATATAAGTTATTTCTAGAGGGGGTTGAAATGCTCCCCAACTACCTTTTGTGTTGAAAAAAATTAATATTAAATTTTAAATTTTATTAGTAAATTTTCTTAGGGTTAATAATTTCTCCTCGTGCTCTTACTTTCTTGTCCATTTTTTGTTATTAATTCCAAAATTGACTACCAACCAATCATAATTTATCATATTTTCTACATTTACATGACTTCATTATTAAGATCAAAATTTTCAATCATGACACTAGAATATTCTGGTTTAACAACAGTTGTCATTTAGAATTTTTCAGCTTTTTAATCAATTGAATTTTCTTGAGTCATTTACTAATGATGGTAATTGCACTATTATTGAATTACAATGATTTGTGGTCCAAGTTATTGACCATCATAGTTTCAAAGTTTGTGGAAAAACTTTTTTTAGGGGGTACCAACTTTTGTTGACAAGAATATCTTCTTAGCACGTTGAATTGCTCAATATTTGGCTAAATTTAAAAAAAAATACAAAAAATTAAAAAGAAATCAAATTTAAAACCCTATGCAAAACCCTGATTTTAAAAAGATAATTTGAACTTGAATGTAATTTTTTTGTAGATTCAAGAAATTTTCTTTCTAGGTAAAAAAAAATAATTTGCTTAAGATCAATAAATTGATCGTTTGGGGCCAAATACACCTAGCAAAGCTAAATATTCTTGAAATAAATAAATAAAAGAAGCAAAAACACAAATAGAAGTGTGAATACCAAATAATGTCCTCTCTTGGCTTTAATTGCATGTGAAAAACATTGAATTTCATTTTCATACGCAACCCGAACGCTGTGTTCGGTTAGGAAATTTGGAAAGAAATTTGAAAAGAAAAAAAAAATTATGTAAAATGTAAATAAAATATATCTACATTTTATATAGTTTCACACAATTTTTTCATTTTCTATTCTAAATCTTTTCCCAAATCCCTCAACCAAACACAGTGTAATGGTGTATTCTCTTCTCATTTCAATGAACTTCGCATAAACACACGAACATGGTGGATTGTGCCAAAAAATGCTCAATTAGGGTGAAGCCCTCCCCCCGTCTATCACGACTATGGGGGGGACCAGGGATCTATTGAAAAACAAACACAAAAACAAAAACAAAAACAAACACAAACGAAACAAATGAACGAAAACAAATTGAGACCAGTCAATTTTTCTACATTACCTAGTCCGTCTATCTTAAATTTGTCAAGAAAACAAAAATATATATTGTGGCTTGCATTTGACGCATATCTAAGCGAAATCCACTCTAGAAAGTGATGTATAAATAAAAAACGCAGAGAAGTTTTGACCAAATCAAAATCACCTAAGAAAAAGTGAAACAAAATGATACAGCAAAGTACATAACATTTTTTTCTTTTTCAGTAACAATACAGCAAAGAATAACAGAAAAATCATAACCCATCCTAGTACAAGATGTTAGCTTATGATCCAATCTATCTCTATGCCACAATAAAGAATTTCGGCAGTCTTTACGGGTGAAACCAAGATTGATATCTTCCTTTTCCACATTCTTATTTATCTATCGAAACTGTGTATAAAGCAAAAACTCTACATGAAGGTCCTCAAATGATATGCATGTTGATTGTGGTACAAAAATATATTACCTCACCAGAAGTTGTCTGGAATACCAAATGGCAGAAAAACCAGTCTGGAAACTCTGGAACTAAAAATTTGGTTCCGCACGACCTACCTAAACGACGGATATTAAGCTTGTGCTCCGAGTTGTCATTTCATGGAGCAAATCAAACCAAGCCAAGCGGAGGTCAAAAGTATTAAAAACTGCAAATAGAGAAACAAATTCCTATCAAGTAAAAGTCTAACTTCCAAACTTTACTAGTGAGAGCACTTTTGTATAGGAACCTATAGCTTTTTTTTGGGGAAAAATATTATTAATCACCATTAGCTATCATAGTGTAAGGGAAAATCTGGACATGAGTAAAGTACAATCTTACAATATTCCAATCTAAGAATTGGGTTTGCAGATTTTCTTCCAACATCCGCTCAACAAATCTGCTGAGAGGGAAAGTAAGCAATTATAGAGAACTCCCAATAGGAACACGGAAGTGCATGGAAATTTAAGATGCAACCATAAATTTTTTTTTTTGAACATCCTATAAATATATGTTTGTAAAACTATGGAAGAACACCAACAATATGCTATTATTACTGCCCACATATCATTAGTAAATAGAGGAATAAACCAAATTTCCGAATGATGTGTTTGGATCATAGATTTGAGGGATTTGTATATGGAAAAGAAAAGAGAACAAAAAGTCAATGAAATGGAAGCTAAATTTGTCACTGTTGCCTTCCCTTTTTTCTTCACAAATCCAATATCCAAATAGTCTTTTAAAAAAAACATGGAACTACTGCACATTAGGCCAGTACATGAATATCTTAGACAAATTACTTACAGTTTTATGTGATGCTGGAAGAAAGGTCTGCATCAATGGAAAAAAATAGCTTTGCCTGAGTAACCTGACAAGTAAAACACATCTTTTTATGATTTTGTCTATAAAATCAAGTAAAAAAAGCCTATCGTGGCTGATCAGAGTAAAGTTACAGTAACAACCCAAATACAGTAGTAGCTTCTTTTTTTCTTTTCTTTTTTTGTTGATAAGTAGTTAAATAATCAATTTGGGTAAATAAATGAAAGGATGCAGATCACTTTCATTGCAGACTATACAACTAAAGCCCATCCTTCGAACAACAGACCCTTATTACTCTGCATATCTGCTTCTAAATTAAAGTGCAATAAATCTACAACAAAACAATTCAAGTTTGTTGACAATTATCGCATGTGCCCCTCAAAGGTAGGAGGAACTCCTCCACAAGTTTGAAACTAATTCGTAATATTCTTAGCTTCTAGGGGTGGGCGCGGGTCGGTTGCAGCTACGAAACCTCCAATCCGCCATCCGTCCGCCAGATTGGCGGATTAGAGAAAATCAATCCGCACCCGTCCGCCAATCCAGTGGATGTGGATTGAGCGGATTGACGGTTTCGCGGATGGATGCGAATCAGTTTGGCGGTTTAAGATTTTATAAATTTTCAACATAATTCAACTTGTGCACTTCCTCAAAAAAAAAGAAAAAAAGAAAGTATTACAGTCAATGACTTAAAAAATTATTATAATCACTGTATATCTCATCTAAAAAAAGAAAGTTTGAAACTTTAAAATATCACAATCACTGCATGGCTCATCCACATATTACAATTACAGCATGATTCATCCACATAAAGTATTACAATTGTGGTTCTTAAAATATAATAACAATTCAAACCACCAAAACCATGAATAGGGCAGTAGTAGAGATTGTATGTCTTTGTATTATTACATCTATATATGCTTTTGAAAACAAAAATCAACCATCATATATCATATTTTCTATTTATTATTTTTAGAGTTAAATTTAAAAACCAAAAAATATAGATAAATAATACGTTTATTTTTTTCAATTCAAAAAATATATTCAAATTGAAAATTTTTTTTCAACAGAATATTTAAACTCTTTTTCAATTGAAAACACAAACAAAATATTTAAATAAATTGAAAACATAAGGTCTTATAAATTATTAGGGTGCTCGCGGTTTGACGGTTCGGCTGCGGCCAAAGGAATCTCAAATCCGCCATCCGTCCGCCAAATTGGCGGATTGGAGAAAATCAATCCGTAACCGTCCGCTCGTCATCACGCATCCGTCCAAAATGCGGCGGTTCGATTCGGTTCGGTCCGGTCCGTTTTGGCGGATCGGTATATCCGCTGCTCACCCCTAAAAGGAACAAATCATATTTAATTCTAATTTTTTAAAAGTTTTATCATATTTAAATTTGTCCAATGATTTTTTCTTTTATTTTTTTCAATTCAAAAAATAACTCTTTTTCAACATAATATATTCAACAGAATATTTACACTCTTTTTCAATTGAAAACACAAACATAATATTTAAACAAATTGAAAATACAAAGTCTTATAAATTACTAGGGGTGCTCGGGTGCTCGCGGTTTGGCGGTTCGGTTGCGGCCAAAGGAATCTCAAATCCGCCATCTGTCTGCCAAATTGGCGGATTGGAGAAAATCAATCCGTAACCGTCCGCTCGTCATCACGCATCCGTCCAAAATGCGGCGGTTCGGTCCGGTTCGGTCCGGTCCGTTTTGGCGGATCGGTATATCCGCTGCTCACCCCTATTAGCTTCTACCTAATTTCTGAGCACATGAAGATCTCCCTTGAGTAGTAGTCACAATAGTGTATCAAAAATTCTTTATGGTCACAAATATACAATAAGTAAAACCAAATCAATTAATCATACCGTGTAGGCGTGTACATACCAATTGTTTTATTTATCATAGCCTACTTGTAACATCAAGTGACGATAGCTACGGCCCCGTATAATTCGTTGCCACAAATACTGGAGTGAGTTCGGAAAGCGCATTTGCATCCGCTCCTTGACAAGCCTGCAGCACATCAGCATATGTAAGCATATGGCGCTGTACAGTAATTATTAAGTAGTTTGTACATGTGAAGATATCTTACCATCTCACAAGACATCTTTGAATACCCTGAGAAACGGGGCGAAGGAAGGACGGATCCCGTTGGGCATAAAGTAAACCAACCTAGGAAGGGTAGTAAGAGAAAAAGAGCAGTCACAATTTGTTATCTTCTATCCATTTGGAGAAACTTGAACTCGGCAAAATAGCAGCTAAAATTAATAACAGTTCAATTACAGTATGGATAACTCGGCAATTTATCAAAAATTAGTAATTCTCCATAAAAACTATACATTTCCCATATTATCCTACAACTTCTAATAGCAAGGTCTGTACAATAAAGTTTGGCCAGCAATTTGAGACATCTGATATTGTAGAAAACTCAATCATCATATTGCCAGAATTCACCCAATATTCTGGTAATATGGAGTGAGAAAAAAATAATGAAAAACAGCACAAAATTGAAAGCAGTCCCAGATAGCAGAAACACGTCGTAACATAAAAAATGGAAATACCTCTAACAATGCAATAGCAGATGGATCATCTAGGATTTCAAGGCTACAATCAGCTAAATAATTAACCTGCACCAAGGTAAGTAGAAAAATGCTCACAACTTTATATGGAAAAACGATTCAACAGAAAGAACGATACTAAGCATTGTATAGCAGCATATACACTATACAAGGTGGTGCATCCTCCAACCACAAGATTTTACTCCATTAAGGCCTCGTTTGGCAACTTTCAGTTTTAGCCAAAAAATCAAAAAGTCACTACAAGTTGTCATATCACTCTCTCTACTTTTCTACACATCTTTTCATAAAAAGCCAAAAAGTTACTAAAATAAGTGAAAAAACGACAATCTAATGTCGAAGAGTGGATCACCTACAGACTGGATAACAAATAAATTAATAAAGGCATACCAACAACTATCCACATAGGGTTGCTATTGCTAATGACATGAATTTTTATTTAGAAGACTGAATCACAGATGAAGATTGGGCACATAAGTATCATTTTTGTTTTCAATTTTCTGTTCTTGCAAAGAGAAAAAGCGGAAAACTGGGTTGTAAAACGAAAATTGTTTTTGAAAATTGCTTACTGGAAAATTTTCGGAAAACACCACAGTTTTTTAGGGAACGCTTACAAGTTTTTTTTTCCCCCTAAATTTTCTAAACCTGTTCTCACACAAATAAAACAATTGGCATTTTCAAACTTTTGACTGTTTTCATTTCCAAAAACATAAAAAACAGAAATAGCAAAAATGAGTTTTCCTTTTTTTTTTACGGGGAACATTAGAATGATAGTTCAGCATATATTTTCTCTTTTCATAACAAAGCATGGGCAAAAAAAAGAGTAGGGGTGTCAAATTTATGCATATACAAATTAAGTAGTAATAACCATTAAAAATTTTAAACACAAGAAGTCAATGGAAACACATCGTAGTCATAGCATATAAAATGGATCAGATAATAGACAGACAAACAACGTTTAGTAAATTTCATTCAATATTATTATTGCTAGCATAGTGCTGGAATAGCATGTCACAGCAGCAAGCAAAGCAAAAACATGTTAAGAAGGAAAAATACCCCAAACTCTGCATTAACCAGAGACTGAATAAAATCCATTAGTTGAAGCTTAGCCCATTCTAAGCACAGCGCAGGGTTGTCTGTACGAGGAGGATGTCTCCAAGGAGCACCAAAGCGTAACCGATCTTTCGAAATTTTTCCATTCCGTGCATCATTAGCAAACCTTTGCAAGAGTGACAATGCTTTATCCATCGCAGGATTGACCACAGTTACCTATAATTTAGAGACTAAAAAATAAGGGAGGATGCATGAAGTACACAATCAAGTGGTGCAAAATCAAACAATGCAGATGCAAGTATTGAAGTATGGAGACTGTAAAAAAACTGATGTATTATTGATTGATTTATTACAAGATTGTTGTATCTGTCTATTACAAATGGTTCCTTATATAGATGTAGGTGTAGTGGAGTAGGTGTAGTGGAGTAGGTGGTGGTAGGTGAGGAGTAGGTGAGTGTAGGTGAGTGTAGTAGGTGAGTGTGTGGTAGGTGATGGTAAGTGTGTGGTAGGTGATGGTAAATGTTAACAGCCCCCCGCAAACTCAAGGAGGATAGAAACTAACCAACTTGAGTTTGGAGAGAGTTACAAAACAAGAAGATAAAATTAATATCCATTATTTTCTTGTTAGACTTAGAAATGAATATAATTAGTTATAAAATATTTGGCAAGAAAATAGGCTCCATGTGATACTTTTGTGGGCTACAACTTGATACAAACAGAGATTCATGCATTCCAATCCAATATCAGTTGAGTTGGTTGGTTAAATAGACACCAGAGTTTGGCACTAGGATGGGAAAATGGAAGCTAGCATAGGGTCACTGAGTCAAATGGCTCAATCTCATATGTAATTTATAATTGACAGAGACCCTAAGTGTTTATATAGATGAATTCTTCTATTTTAACTATCTTTATTTTTTCTTTTTCGTTTTTCCGGTGGAGGGGATCGAAAGGAAACTAAACCTCTAAGGACCAACAAGAAGATTTCACAACAAGATCATCCATAGCAATCCCTACAGCCAAGAGGAAATGCTTCCGATCACTGCATATATACCTTTGAAGTGTACGCTAGATTTGCCAACCAATCAATCACATTATTTGCCTCCACAATTAAATTTTTTCATAGAAAACAATATTTTATTGTCTTCATAGAACAAAATATTTTGACTTGATACTACTGAGTCTTGATGTATTAAATAAGAAAATAATGTCTACACACTTATGCCTCCTGATGGGAACTAACTAGATCTATTACTTGGTTTACCACTTACATCTAATAGACACATTGATTAGGTTCAAATTAAGAGCATTCAACAAACCCAAAGCCCTGACAAGTTATCAAGACATACTTTCCAGTATAAAACAGCCATTAAAAACAACCTCGCCATTAGTCTTTTTACACAATTATTTTTCCATTTTGTCTTTAAAAATGAGAATATTGACCGAGGCAAAACCATAAAACAACTACGACAAAATTAGTCAAGAGGCAAGCTGGAGATGACTAATGGTAAACCCTATCTTGTGTCATCTATTATTGATGAAGAAGAAACTTAGGTGGTGACAGATTGTTTGACTGAGGAAACAAAAGCCGGTGCAAGTAAGAAATCAGATGAGAGTCAATAAATATCAAAGAAAGCTTGCACCCTGTCTGTGTCAAATGGTTATCCAAACTTCATATCCTCGTACAAAATCAGAATATACTAGAATGAAATTTCAGAAAGGAATTAAATTCAAACTTGCTATGGAAACTTACTTGTAGAAATGCTAAATATGCATCTACAATGTCTTCAAATGTACTAGCCTTGTCGTCCATGACCCTACAATAAAACTCAAAAGGGGAAACAAAAAAGAAGGTTAAATTGTATAATGTGCATAAAGTTTTATCAATATTTAACAGCTTAACTGGTAACTATGTGGTTGCAAAAACTTTCATTCTATTGTAAGCCATTATTTAGTAAATACATGATAAGTAGGGTTCTCATATTCTTAGAATGGAATCCTGTAAGAATCCCACACATGTTGTCAGGCAATTGAAAATTTGCCAAGGTGCAATGTTTAAGAGTTTAACCATTAACACTTTCAAAAAACATCCCATAAAATGGATTGGCGAGAGAAGGAACAAACGAAGGAACATATGTTTAGAACTGAGTTTTTATGCTTGCATTTAACACCTACTGAGTAGATTAGTGGTTATTAAAGTCAAGACACATCTCCCACAAAATAAAAATAGGAGGCCTTTTTTACATTTTTCATTGAACTATAGTCACGCAATGAGTTCTCAGTTTCAAAGATCACTTATCAATCAGAGACTATTACCTAAAAGGAAGAGCAACTCTGAGACTTAATTGGCTACATCCCTCACAGGACCACCCCAACCAATACAGAATAATGAAGTACAAGCATCACTAGAAAATTAAGAAAAAACACGATAATATGCTCATAGCACACCTTGTAAGAACAATGAGCAATATATGAACAGCTGATTAAATTTCATATAATATTATTCAAACACTATGCAGAGGGAGAAGGGGAGTTTATCCATCCAATTATCCTGTTGCATTCTTGTAAGAATATATTAGGAATTTTATGTATATATGGTAGTATATATATTTTGTATATATTAGGGATTGAAATAAGTCGTATTTCCTTTTTCGTTCTAAGTTTAGATTGTTATATAAACCAATGTATTCTTGTATTACAAAGACAATTGAATATACAGAAAGCTTACATGGTATCAAAGCCGTCTTTGAAACCCTAAAACAACAGTCACGACATCCTCTAGTTCGGAATTACGATTTGGGTGTTTAGTGGTTCAATTGAGATTGTTCTCTGGGTTGTCGGAATTGACCCATCCCGTAATCCATCTCTGGTTAGTCAAGATTCGATTAATCTATCCATCGTGATTCGTCTATTCGTCAGTGTTGCCCTTGCTCCACTCATCTGTTCGTGGCAACCCATCTAGGTACAAGTCGAAACCCATCATCGCAACCCATCTAAGTCAAAGAGGACTTTGGCCGTCTGTCTCTGCCTGTCTCATGCTTCGCGTGAAGGTCTGGTCTGCCCTCTCTCCTTGCGAAGGACAGTTCCCTGGTTCTCATCTAATTCTGGGTCAATTCGTCTCTCTCTGTGGTTCGTTGCTGGTTTGCTAGTTGCTTCGAAGTGGGTTCAATTCTTCTCTTTCTCTGCTTGTGATTGGCGATAGGTATCTCTCCCTCTCTGGTTGCGACTTCTGGCTATTGGTTCTTAACTTCTAAAAACTCTCTGAGTTATTGAGTTTTTAGAAAGTCTGGTTTTTTTGATTTATTACATTTTGTGACCACTCATATCTCTGTTATTGCATTTGATCCATATAGTGCTAGTTTTGGGTTATTATAGTTTGACCCATTAGTTTTCTATTTATTATACTTCACCCAATTGGTTTTCTATTTTTGGTTCATTATGATGTTGGATACCCATCAGCTTCAGTCTCTTGCAAAGCCCAAGACGAGGCTACTGGCATCAGATGAGTGTGCTTTTTGCCATCATCGAGGCCATTGGAAGTATCACTGTCCCAAGAAGGGACGTCTATCTACCTCGTCTTTTCAACAATCTTAGACTCAATTCCGTGCTCCTTTTCAGAGTACTTTTCAGACTCCAGCCACTTATACTACATCTGCTTCGGTTCCTGATCCTGATTTGGCTTCCTTGAGTGCTCCAATTGCTCAGCTTCAGCATATATTGTCTACCTTTTAACCCTCCCCATCTACCTCAGTTGTTTCCTCTCTTCATTCAAGTTTGTTTGGGTCTCCTTCAAGTATCTCTTTGTCTGTCTGAATTTTTGACTCTGGTGTCTCTCATCATATGACTCATCATCTCTCCTTCCTTCAAAATTGTACTCCTCATCTCTTTCCTATTGCTGTTAATGCTGCTAATGGGTCCGATATGTCTGTTATATCTGTTGAGTCTGTCTTACCGTCTGCTATGTCTGCTGTCTCTATTCCATCTGTCATTTATGTTCGTCAGTTATCTGTCAGTTTATTATCTATCAGTCAGCTTGATGCCTCTGGTTTTGATGTTATCTTTTCTTCTTCTATTTGTTCTGTGCAGGATCGGATGTCCAAACAGTAGATTGGGACTGGCTGTAAAGTTGGAGACCTCTATGTGGTGAAGAGCTTGCATCTGTCTATGACAACCTCTCCAACTGTTTTTTTCTCTTTTCAATTAGATTATCTATCCAATCCTTCTACTTGTAGCATTCTAGATTAAGGCACTTGTCTGTTGACTGCTTACGGTCTTTAGCTCAATCAAGTATTTTGGGTAAAGCTTCTCCTAGTGAATTTACTAAATGTCGGAGGTGTAAACTTGTCAAAATGACAACCTTACCGTTTCGTAAACATACTTCTATTTCTGATACACCGTTTTCTTTAGTTCATACTGATGTTTAGGGTCCTTCTCCTGTTCTCACCAAAGGGGATTCTGCATACCATGTGTCATTTGTTGATGACTACACTCGTTACACTTGGGTTTATCTTATGACTCATAAGCCCGATTTTTATCAGATATATCGTACCTTTCAATCTATGATTACTACTCAGTTTAGGTTTACAATTAAAGTGTTACAATCTGACTTGGGTGGGGAATATTTTAAAAATGAGTTATGTGAATATTTGGCCAATTTAGGTACCATTCACCAAACTTCCTGTACAGATACACCTGCCCAGAATGGTCGAGCTGAGCGTAAACACTGTCATCTCCTTGAGACAGCTAGGTCTCTTCTTCTCGCTACCTCAGTTCCGACTCTATTTTAGGGAGAGGCAATTCTTACTACTGCTTTTCTTCTCAATCGTATGCCTACTCCCTTTCTTTCTGGTTGGTCTCCTTATGAGACTTTGTTTTCCCAAATTCCTAACTACTCCCTCCTTTGTGTGTTTGGTTCTACTTGCTTTGTTCTTCCCCGCAAAGATAGGACCAAACTTAGTGTCCGGTCTGTCCTCTGTGTCTTTTTGAGTTATAGTCCTACTCAGAAAGGCTATCGGTGTTACGATCCTATTTCCCGTCATGTTTCTTTTCTTGAACGTCTACCTTACTTTTAGCTTCCTCCTATCACTGCTCCAGTTTTCAAAGAAGATTTGGTTCACATTGATCCATTTCATTCTGAAGTTCCTCCTGATGAGTACATCCCTACCGTTCCCCATGACCTTGTTCCTCTTCTCCACCTTCCACCACTCTTGTTGAGTACCTCTCCACTAACCCCCCTGAGGCTATTTCTACTTCTCCTCCTGCTTCACCTCTGGTTTCCTCTCCTCCTTTGGCTTCTTCTCCGCCTCCATTGTTAGTCTATTCTTATCGTCAGGCTCCCCCTCCACCAGTTGCCTCTACCCCGACTGCTTCTTCTTCTGCTTCTGAAGACTCTGATCCTGTTGAACACACTATCCTACTCGAGTACATCGTCCTCTAAATAGGTTAAGTTGGTCTAATACATGCTTTTCTGCTTCCTATCGTACTTTTTTGTCTGCTATTCATTTCTTTTCAGAACCTCAGTCTTACAAGGAGGGCTGTCAGGATCCTAACTGGGTTCGAGCTATGGAGGATGAGTTGTCTGCTTTACAGAAAATTAGTACTTGGGAGTTGGTTCTTTTGCCTACTAGTAAGAATCTGATTGGTTGCAAATGGATCTACAAAGTCATGACTCATTCCGATGGTTCTCTTGAGCGCTACAAGGCTCGTCCGGTTGCCAAGGGTTTTTCACAAAAGTATGGTATTAATTATGAGGAGACCTTTGCCCCTGTTGCCAAGATAACTATTGTCCGTACTTTGATATCTGTTGTAGCTGTTCGCCATTGGCCTCTTTATTAAATGGATGTTAAGGGCTAGTTTGGCATGTACTAAATAAGCCAAAAAGTCAAAAAGTCACTATCTTATTTAAGTCACATCATCTTATTTAAATCACATCACCTCTCTAACACATCACATCAAACCCAACCCAAACCCAACCCAAACCCACCAATAAGTCAAAAAGTGCACTTTTTTAGGACATCCCAAACCAACCCTAAGAATCCTTTTCTTAATGGTCATCTCGCTGAGGAGGTTTGCATGCGTCCTCCCCCTAGCCTTCACCATTCCTCTGGACAGGTTTGTCGTCTTCGGCGTGCTTTGTATGCTTTGAAGCAATCTCCTCGTGCTTGGTATGATCGCTTTCAGACTGCTGTTACTGAGCTTGAGTTTCATCCTTCTGCTTCCGTCTCTGCTTTGTTTCTGGGACGTACCTCGGCTGGTTTTGTTGCTCTCTTACTCTATGTGGATAATATAATCATCACTGGCTCTAACTCTTCTGCTATCTCTGAGGTCAAGCAGCATCTCTTCCGCAGCTTCGAAATTAAATATCTGGGTCCATTGCGGTATTTTCTTGGTATTAAGATTGTTTCTTCTCCAAAGGGCTATTTTCTGTCTCAGGCTGCATATGCTAATGAAGTCATTCACCGTGCTGGTCTTACGGATACTAAGGTTTCTGATACACCTATTGAGCTTAATGTGAAGCTCAACTCTACTGATGGCATCCCTTTAGATGATCCCACTTTATATTGCGATCTTGTGGGTTGTTTAGTTTATCTGACGGTTACTCATTCCGATCTTGCCTATGTTGTTCATGTGGTTAGCCAGTTTGTTGCTACTCCTCACTCCACACATTGGACTACATTGGTTCGGATTCTTCGCTATCTCCGAGGTACTGTATTTCAGGGTTTACTATTGTCCTCTACTTCCTCTCTGGATTTGGTAGCCTATGCATATTCTGATTAGGCTGATAATGTTACTAATCACAAGTCTACGTCTGGTTTCTGTATATTTCTTGGTGATTCCTTGATCTCTTGGAAAAGCAAAAAACAAACTGTTGTTGCTCGCTCTTCTGCTGAAGCTAAGTACTGTGCTATGGCTCATGCTACTACTGAGATTGTTTGGCTTCGTTATCTTCTCTGTAATTTGGGTGTCCTTCAATCTTCTCCGACCTCTCTCTCTTGGGACAACTACAGTGCTATTCAGATTGCCCATAACACTGTCTTCCATGAGCGAACGAAGCATATTGAGATTGATTGTCGCTTTGCTTATCAGCATCTGCAATCTGGCTCTATTTCCCTTTCTTTCGTCTCTTCGGCTCTGCAATTTACTGACTTCTTTACCAAGACTCACACCACTGCTCGTTTCAGTTTCTTCTTGGCAAACTCTCAGTATTTTCTGCTAAACACCTTGAGTTTGAGCGGAGGTGTGAGAATATATTAGGAATTTTATGTATATATGGTAGTATATATATTTTATATATATTAGGGATTGAAATAAATCGTATTTCCTTTTGCATTCTAGAGTTAGATTGTTATATAAACCAATGTATTCTTGTACTACGAAGACAATTGAATATATAGAAAACTTACAATTCTCTCATAATGAAGCAAGACAAGATGACTATGTTGAACTTAGTGAAACATTTTTTTTCAATGAAGTAGACATATCAACCATTAATATCAACTGTGTCTGGTTTCAGTTCCAAATTTCTAGGTTAACTTAAATGATACTCAAACAAAAACTTACATAAAGAAAAGATCATTTAAATAGCAAATCAAGCACTGTATAAATTTTATAAGCCAAATTACAAGTTCCAATCATTCAGTGAATCTCAATAAAGCTTTTCTCAGACCATTAGAATTACAAGCCAATCAAGATCAAAAGATTCCCATTAAAAGAAATTCCAACTGAGTATTTACTAACAGTTGTTGTGACAAAAGAATGCAAAAAATCTATATTTATGAAAACTAAAACTCAATATGAAGCTTTGGAAGTTATTAAGGGAGTTATACAAAAAAGTCTCAAACCATGAGATGTATGAAGTGGCATACATGCAATCCAATTGAAAAAGATAAAGAATCACACATCAAACAAAAAGAATGTGTTTCATTGGAAGAGGACTCATTTCACATGACAGGTAAAGGAAGAAAAAAAAATCAAGATCATTTGTTAAACTATATAAAATATCGAAATTGAGTCAAACTAAGCATCTAAATACTTACTTCTGGTAAAAATTGCTTTGTTTGAGTGCATAAAGCTCAAAAAGATGTCGTGGGCTTGGCCCTAGCACCTCAACAACCACATTCCACTACAGATTCAACAAACATACTGAATTATTTGCAGAGATCAATATCAATCTTATGAATGCAAAGAATTCATTAAAAATAAAGCTAATGGGAAAGAAATGCATGATTTAGTCTTCATATGAGCTCACCTCAGATTGACTGTAGTAATCAGCAACCATATGCATTTTAGCTTCTTGCGGAGTCCATCCAAAGGTCTGCAAGTGGTGAAAAACAAGATACACCTGGATTATCTAAATATTCTACTTATCCGATCAAGGAACAACACCCATCAAGTCCCACACACCCACACCAACCCCACCAAATAACAAAATCCAACAAGTGCATTATGTGTACTCATGGGCAGGCACAAAAACCAGAAAGTAGTACATCTGGTCAAAGGAGAAAAGCCAATCAGGCACATGAATTCACCCAATACAAGAACCTGCTACAAAATAAGGGGATTTGTTTGAGTCCTCTAATAAAGCTTCCCCAATTTGACCACAATGATGTGGCATGTTAGGTGTCAACTTTTGATTTGTCATACACTCAAACTATGTAGGGCCCAACACACTTGCCACACCATTGTGGGTGAATTTGGGGATCTCAATTGTGGGTCTCTAGCATTTCTCACAAAATAAGAACATCAAGGGTAGAAAAGGCAGGCAAATAAGACATCTCATTCACCATCAAGGAGTATACAATGAATGACCAATCATCACTGGATGCATAATTCAAAGTCAATTGGCATTCCTGAATGTTTAACTATAACTTTATAGAACAAGGAAGGGCAAACTGCTCTATCCTTCCAAGATTTATAATCAGAAAAGAAATAAGCCACCACACGTGTTCACACACACACGTAAAAAATCAAACGTTCAGTATGAGTTACCTCTCGAGATATGAATATGTCCGGAAACCCAAAATCCATAAAAGCTCGGTATGAATAGTAGCTGCCAGATATCAATAAGTTTCATTTCAAAAGCTAATTAAGAAAAAAATTTGAATACTAGTTAAGAAAATTTTAAAAGATACTACAGTCAAGCCAAGAGGGTATGCTTGAAAATAAAATAGATTAAAAGGTTGAATATTTATGCATGATCACAATGGTGGTTCACAAATACTAAATGAGAATTCAAGATGCTTCTAACATGCCGTGAATAAGTGCTTGAGAAAATAAGTAAACAATAACTACAAAATCTTTCAAAGGTTATTCAATGTGCTTCATAAATTTGGCATCCAATCAGTTTAAGGGATGTCAAAAATTAGAGTTCGTCGCATAAGTCTCTATATCATTGTGAATGTGAGCTTAGGTGAGGACCTTCAAGAACACAATCATAGAAAGTACACACAATCATTGCTAGAGGGTAGACAGAGCACGTCTATGGATCTGGAGGCTTGAAGCTTGATTGTGATTGTGATATCGTCGCGTGCTAGTGGAGAAGCAAGTTGGAAGAGTTCAAGGAGATTGGACAGATTGGAAGATTGGACTATCTGCTATGGGTTTGAGTAAGAAAAATTTTGTTATGGTTCTTAAACTTATACTTGATTTACTTAAACTAGTAAAGAGCATTCTAGGTTGGAAGGGTTTCTCCACTATAAATCACTTCTCCTGTGTACTTGATTTCTTGTTTGATCTATCTATATAACTGATTACTAAATTGGTTTTAAAATTAATATCTTCAGTCATAAAATGGTACAATCAGTGATCCTTCAAATAAAACGGATTTTATTTCTAAAATCACTCACCACATATCCAATCCAACTCATTGGGACCATAAAATGTGTGTGTCAACACTTCTAACATGTGAAGTAGATGATATGAAGATCATGAAGTATAAATAGATTTCTACGCTGCTAGCAATATAAATTTAGAGGAATAGTGAATCCTTGTACCATCATATTACCATAAAAGACTATATGCATAGCAATACAAGTATCCACACAAGTAAACAACTTAGTAGAAGTGAAATTTAGCATCACATGAAGTATTAGAATAACTAGGTCTAATTACATAGTGCCAATATTAAGAAGCAACATGCTGAAAAGGAAAGAGTTACCAAAAACACGTGCAAATTATAAGTACTGCACAAAACTGTTGCCGGTTTGAGTGAAACAAATTTTAGACATTTATGCACAACAAAAATTACAATGAAAAACCAAATGATTCGGCTTTAGAATGTATTCATGATATCACATTCAATGGAGTCAACCATAGAATGACTAGTAAAATTACTTTGTTCAAAGGAAAAGGCATTGTGTCGATAACAATTGTAAAGACAGAAAAAAAAAACACGAAGCATTAATTAAGTACATACGGAAATTACCCATCTGATGTCACAAGAATGATAGGCAAACACCTCTCATTGGCACCCAAAGCTATTATTCTCCATATTAAACAGTCATGATACAATGAGCCAGAGACCGTTGAATCATCTGTTAAAACTGCATGCTTTAGAACTTCAATATTGTTTATCACCAGCTTCGGCTGTTCAATGTTATATACAAAACATCCATCAACCACAAAACTGGAAAGAACTCCAAATACTAACCAAGATCACATGAATGCACCATACATATGCTACTATTGTTTTCCATCAGTACCCAATTAAGCTTCTGGGTTCAGTTGCAAATATCAGACATCACTCTTATTTGAACAATTTGTGGTAATTTACCTGAAAGTAATCAGTCTCAGCAGCTGAAGACAACAATTCCAACAATAAACACGGCCAATCAGTCGCAGAATTGGCCAAACTCCTCGAAAACCCACCAACACGATTCAAGTCCTTAACAGCATTGGCCCTCCACCCTTGCTGAATCCTAATAACCTCCTTGGCCAATTTCAACGCGACAATCGCTTCCCTAAAATACGAAGCTTCTTCAACACTGACACTCTTCCCCTTGTCGCTCAACCCAAGAACCCCATCAATCTCTTTGACATTTGATCGAGCAGATAGCGCGAATAGAGCCCGACTCCAAAGCACCAAACTCGAAGCCTTCTCAGACACAGCAGTCTTGGAGGTCGACCTGGACAAGGCATTCGATTGAAGTACGCGACGAAGCGCGGTGTTGAGGCCGTGCCATTTGTTGAGGGTAGTGAAGATTTGGTGAGAGCTAATGGTGCCGAGTTGAACAGCCTTTTGGGCCATGGATTCGAGACAGTGCTCGAGTTGGGTACGAAGGGTAGGGAGAGCTGGAGGAGGACAATTGGACCAGGAAGTCCAAGGGAATGAATTGCCATGGTGAGGATGGTGATCTTCGATGGATTGAGCGAAGTCTACATAGCCTGTAATATGAGGGCCTGTGTTCCACTTGTCAAGCAGACCTGGACAAAGAAAACAAACACACAGTAACATATATATACATATAGAGAGAGGGGGGGGGGTGGAGAGAGAGAGGGGGAGAGAGAGGGGTTACGGTCGAGGATGAGGGTGGTTTTGCCGACGCCGCGGGGGCCGTGGAGGATGAGGGGTTGAGGGACGCGGTGGTGCTGGGCGTGGTTGTTGAGGATAGTCTCGAGGAGTGGGCGAGGGATTATCCTCCATGCCTTGTTCACCATTTGGTGATGGTGATGGTGATGGTGATGGTGATGTACTTGTACTCCTCCTTGGTCTGGTACTAAACCAGGAAATTGCAGTCCTGTAGTGTGTGGGAGGCGGAGGCTGAGGCAGAGCAGAGGTCGAAGTTGGGGAGTGGACTGGACTAGGGCGACCCCCCACCCCGTTTGTGCGCCAGTGCTTCTCGTCTCTCTCTGTTTCGTTAATTCTCTCATCGTGGATGGGCCGGAACCCGGTCATTTCCACCTTCCAGTTCAGGGTTTTAATGCGACCATGTTATGCGGGTTTAGTTCCATTTTATAGCATAAGGACCGGCCCGCCAAAACAATATCCAACTTCCTCCCCAAACTTAAGCCCAGCTGCCTTTTTCTGCCCAATTTGCTTTTCAAAATGTTGGGTTTATTAGTGTGCAGTCTTGTTTTGGCGACTTAAATATCTTTGAGTTTGTGTTCGGTTGAGAAATTCGGAAATAAATTTAAAAAGAAGAAAAATATATGAAATTAAGTGAATGTAAGTATATTTTATTTACATTTCACTTATTTTTTTTATTTTTATTTTTAAATTCCTTCTCAAATCCTCCAATCAAATACAGCATACGTCTAGTAAACTTTTTAAATGCGCTGTTAAGTTCTTAATTGTCTATAATATCCTCATTAAATTATTACTCATTAATTTTCTCATCTTCATCTTCTCTCTCTTGATCATGTTTTCAAAACTCTTCTTCTTCCTCATTTATCTCTCTCTCTATCATTTTTCTAGAAAACTTATCTTCTTCATCATCTCTCTCTATTCTTGCTCATCTCTTTCTCTCTATACCATTTCTCTAAAGAGTTCCAAAAAACCACCGTCTCTTTGCCATCGTCGCCACACCACCACCATTGCCATGGTCATCTACTCTCCACCGACCACCTCCGTCAACTACCACCATTCGTTCACCAACCATCTCCAATATCACTAATCTACACTCCATCATCTCTGATCCACCACCATTGTTTACCAATCACGTCCACCATCACCAATCTATACTCAATTATCTTCGATCTACACTCCACCATCATCGCTGTCACTATTCTCCATATCCATCATCCTCGTTATCTATTATTTTTCTGGTGACATCAAATGCTCTAGATTCACACCAATCTACTTGTTTTCATGGTGAAATCAATTTCAAATGACTCAAAGCAACAAATGATTCTCCAAATCTTGCTTCTCTCTATCTCTTTCATTCCTTCTTTATTTCTCTCAAAACAACTCTACTGCAAAATCAGGATTTAATATATCAGTAATAAATTTTGTCACTAAATATGCAGTTGTTTTTTTTATGTTGATTTGTGACAATGATGACTAAATTTGCTTTCTGGAATTTTTTTATAAATAGTTAGTGATAAATTTATCACTGAATCTGTTTTTGATTCTTTATGTTGATTTGCGAATGTGAAGAATGATGAGAATTTCTGGTAAAGACTCCTAATCCATCTTCTCCATTCTATTTATCACTATTCTTATCATTTTCTCTTATTGCCACTAAAATTTGAGGAGAGGGTGGTGGTAGTGACGTTGGAAAAATTATCTTTAAAAAATTAGGACTTGACTATTATAACAAATTAAATGTTGATTTTTGGGTTTATTTAGTAACAATTTTGTTTTCAGATTTCAGTTTATATTTATAAAAATTTTAAAAATTATCATAAAAACTCAGTTTATAAATGGTTGTTTCAATTTATAAATTTGAAGAAAAAACGTAAACTCAAAAAATGAGTTTACTTTGGTTTTTAACAAAAATTAAAAAAATTGACTAACATTTTTCCAATTATTTTTTTCAATTAATTTTTTTTCAAATAATTTTTTTAATTAATTTTTTTTTTCAATTATACTGTGTATGATCCTATTGTCATAAATATATATGTATATATATTGTAGGCCTGAATAAACATATTTTTTAGTTTATGTTTTTAAAAATTTTCAAATATTTTGTTCAAGCCAAACACGTTTGTAGTTTATGTTTTTTTAAAAATAAACAAAAATTAATTTATAAAATTTTGTAAATATAAACAAAAAACATAAACGTTACCAAACGCTACCAACTTTTTTAATTCTATCTTAGAACTTTTACTTTGATATCAAATTCAATCATATGTCCATCTCTGTTCAAATGTCTAAAGGAAGAATTTTTTTGACACAGGTGACACTTTTACACTGACTCATTTAATTTTGATATTAATCTTAAACTTTAACTCGATTTACATCTTGTAAATATTATTGCACATAGTCCATCAAAAACCATAATTTCCTGCTCCCATTCCTCATCAACCCTTCACTACCCCTCGTCATTTTCCCATTCTACCCGTGACCACTATCCCCCATTCCATCCATGACAACTATACAATTTTTTATACAAATATGCAATTATAAAACAAACATAATAATTTCAAGCTTTGGTAATTAATAACTTTACAATACTTTTTAACAAGATCCTTCATTTCTTTTTCGAACAGCCAAAGTTGGGAGAGAGAGTTTCAATTGACTAGACACAAAAAAGTAATTAAAAGATAAAATTAAAATTATAAATAATAATATATAATAAATAAATAAATAAATAAAAAGTAAAATGAGATATGATAAAAGAGAAGTGCCATTGACTAAAGTCAATTTTGCTGCTTTCCGGATTCTTCTCGTACGAATAAATCCAGGCCCACTCGGGCCAGGCCAGGCCCCGGAAGGGTAGCATGTTTTTAAAAAGGCTGGTATTGTAACGTGAGCCTGGATTGAATATTCCAAAGTGGACTTGACCTGACACCATTGACAAATCATAAAAGTCACAAGTTTTAAAGGCTGAAAGCTCCTTTATGCTCAAATTCTTTTATTTTTATGTTAGGATAGGAAACGAATTGAGTAGAGTTTAATAGTAAATTGTTTGAATTCATTTACATATTATGTTAATTTTGAATAAATTTTTAATAAGTTGAGCTTGACTAATTAGTTGTTCGAGCTTGACGGATGTATTCAAATTTTACTGGTTTGCATAACAAGTCAATTTTAAACGAGTTTTTAATAAGTTGAATATAAGTTAAACTCGAATAACTTGGATCGTTTTCTCTGATCCACCACCATTGTTTACCAACCATGTCCACTGTACGAGGAGCAAATATTCCGGCACGCCCGTACTCTTTTCTTCCGAGCTCCGTTTATGTCCGATCACCTGCGCGCAAACAATGGTGAGCTACCCGGCGGTGTGTGGCCGGAAAAACCCTCCGACGATCAAGTTAACACACACCTTAGGACAGAGAGAGAGAGAGAGGTGTTTGAATGTAAGAAATTCCTAACAAAGTGTTCATCCGTCGCGTATGGGGGGCGCAGACATACTTATATACCCTCTGCGCCCCATATCCACTCCCAGTCATCTCCTGACACGTGGCTCCGCTATCCTATCTGTCAGCATAAACCTTGCCGATCATCACCTAATCACAACTGCCTGCTTTCTCAGCTGGAGCTCGGCAGCCGAGCTGCTCTATCCACGGCCGTGCTGTGCTTCATACCCAAGCGCTTCACTGGCTAGGCCCAGGGAGGACCAGGCTAGGCGGCATCTCGGCAAAGCCAAGCCCGGGGCACCTCCTGTGGTCGGCCTTCCTGCCGATCAAACGGTTTCCTCGGTTGACCACGCCTTTCCGGGCGCCGGTCGCTCAGCTTGTCTGGCTTCAGCCATCCCCTGATCAAGTAGCTCGGTCCAACCGAGCACTGCCTTGCCGAGCTTCTTTACGGTCCGGGGCAGCACACACTTGGCCCCATGCACGGTTGGGCTCTCAACCTGCTCGGCCGTTGCCTCAGCCCAATTCCAGATCATAAACCACCCTCTCAATTGCCCCTTAATTCCGTCCGCGAAAGCGTGACTGGGATTACTCACTTTGACCGAGATAACGTTTCTCCGGTCTTCAAGATGTCAAAGCTCGACCGGGCTAGTTAACATAACTGTCTGCAAACTTGCTCAGTTATACTCCTCGGCCGACATCCTTTTCTTCAAAAGTAGCTCGGTTGGCTCTTCGACTCTTCAACCCGTCACTTCAGTCCTGACGTCGCCATAAATGGGGACACGTGGCGGGCTGCCATTAGTCATCGAGCAGCCAACCCGCTGTTTTTGCCATAATTTTGAATTTGGGCGGCCTCTCTCTTGTCTATACATACAGGACCTCCCAAACTTCACCTCCTCCTACTGCCATTCTGTTATACGACTCCAGAGCTCTAGCATCCTTGCCTTGGCCTCGTCTGCCATTCTTCGTGTTCGAGGGAATAGATCCTGCCCTTCACTGGTGAGTCTTTCTACCCCTATTTTGTTGCTATTTTCTTTCATATTACACACATTAGGGCACAAAAACGTAGCTCTTAGGGCATAGGCCATAAAAACCGTCCCAAACCTCCCACTGTTCTTAGTGTTCTTCATCTTCCTGAAGAACACTGAAGAACTGGGGCGAACCGGGCTCCTGGTCTTCTTCTGATCCAAAAAACCAATCTAACCGAGCAAATAACCTGTTTGTCTCAACCCCAGCAAAAACCAAGATAACAAAAGGACTTGGTCGCACAACCGGGCTAACATCTAGTCTGCTTGGGCGACCGGGCTCCTTAGTTAGAATAGACAACCGAGGTGGTTTGGCACTCTTAATGACTGAGCTAAAGTCCAGCTCCTTTTGCGCGACCGCGCTCACACTTACACTTGCCATCCTTTTCCTGCAGAGTCCAAGGGGACCACTGTCATTCCTGAGGCTCTCAGGACCGAGCAGCAACCAATTACCACAGTGCCAAACCCCTCAGCCGGGATATACTAAGCCGGCCACAAATGGGGAAATTTCGCTTCCTAGTGGATACTCCGGCCGCGCTAGCTGCTTTCAGAGAGGAGTACGGCATCCCGGCCGACGTCCATCTCGAACTGGCTGAAGATGAGACAACACCCTGGGGCAGACTAGACCAATGCCCCTTCACCGTGCTCTCAATTGTCGAAGAAGGCCTCCGTTTCCCGCTCAACCCACTTATTACCG